CTAGTACCTATGTTCCCTAGCACCTACGTTCCCCAGTACCTATGTTCCCTAGTACATATGTTCCCTAGTACCTTAATTCCCCAGTAACTATGTTCCCTAGTACCTATGTTCCCCAGTACCTATGTTCCCTAGTACCTATGTTCCCTAGTACCTATATTTTGTAGTCCCAAATGTACCCCTGTTCCTATGTTCTGTTATACCTATGTTTCCCAGTACCATTGATGGGCAGCAATAATCTAAAAATTAGTTCCACTAGCCTTAAAACACTAACTCACATATTTAGGTCACCTAATTCTAAAGCACTAATGCACTAAAAGTTTTAGCAAAAGCTAATTCTAAAGCACTAAAATAACCCAGTCAACCCATGAACATTCTTCAACAGACAACATGAGTCACACGTCGCTCTCTTAAGACATTGACATTCCACAGCTGTATTTGGGTTCATATATTGTCAATATATTGTCACCTGGTGGATAAGTGACACCTATATGAACAAAATGTGTGACAGTTTTCACCCTCAKCTGTTAACATTAACGTTGATCAATAACATTTATAGACCTCAGTTGGTGSTTCTAAATTTAGACTATAAATTTAGCAAGTGCTAATCCACTAATACATTTTAAAAACAGCAAAAGCACTAATCAGGAAATTAGTTCCCCTATTAGGGCTTTAGGGCTTTARGGGAACTGTGCCCACCACTGCCCAGTACCTATGTTCCCCATACCTATGTTCTGCTGTACCTATGTTCTATAGTACTTGTTTCCTGTTACCTATGTTCACCTATGTTCCCTTGTATATATGTTGCCCAGTACTTACTTTTCCTAATACCTATTTTTCCTGGAACCTATGTTGTCCTGTGGTTAATAAAAAAGTCAAAAGAGGAACCAAGGATCTTTCATTCTTAACCCCAGGAAAATATAGGTACTGATAAACAAATACGCTTCTCTTTCTGACTCAATACTCCCAGCAATATGCTAGACACGTAGTTTTTATCCATTCTAATTTTCCTTTTTTCTATTTTTTTTCTTCTTTTTTGGTTACAAACTAAATGTACATTTAAAAATGTTTTGCTACATTCTAGACATACCCTTTGCTTATCCAACTGAGCTCATACACAGCTAGCCACCAGAAAAAAAATTGATGTGAAATCTAACTAATATATCACATTTTTTTGTGAGTCCACGATAATCATGAGTTGATCAAATATTGTGATCAGAGTTCTTTAATACTGATTTTACATTCACATCAGAGAACATACAGGTGTGTGAGACCACATGTGAACCTCTTTTGGTTTGAAACATTGTCTGGGCTAAAATTACTGGTTTTGTTCTAATGCTCCAGTTATGATGCCACCACGGACACTCTCTGGAGTTTTTTCTAGATCTGCTAGTTGTGAATTAATTATTTACAAATYATTTTTCTCTTAATTTATTTCATTTAAACAACAAAAACAAACATATTAAAATAAACAAAACAAAAAAAACACAACATTGAAAAGGAGTAGAAAGACGAAAAGAATTCATCAACTGTGTCCATATCGTAMCATTCCTTCTGAGTGCTGACATTCTTCTGTCTCAGTGAATGGATCTTACCTTTTTTAAAAACAGATTTAATGGCAATTCTTTCTTTGTCTTGCAGGAAACTGTATTTTGAATACTTATTTAATCCTAACCCTAACCAGTGTTCAGTTAACTCTAAATAATAAATTGCTGATTTTCTGTCTTTAAGGGATGACGTCCATGCCATAACAGTCCTGCTGGGTGTGTACAACCTGACTGGCAGGAACCCCAGTAAAGTGACTCGATCGCTTAGTCAAATTATCTGCCATCCTGAATACAATGAGTATACTGTTGATAATGACATCTGCCTTCTGAAGCTGTCAGCTCCAGTGAATTTTACAGATAACATAAAACCGATCTGCCTAGCATCAGCAGACAGCACTTTTAATGATGGTCTTAACATCTGGGTCACTGGTTTTGGTACGACTGGTAAGTTAGCCTACCTAAGGTTAATTTTCTTTAAAAAGAGGACTTCTGAATGTGAAACAGAACTTTAACGGTTTTTCTTTAATTAGGTTCTGGATCACTATCCAACACTTTGCAAGAAGTAAAGGTACCAATAGTAGGCAACAATAAGTGCTTGTGCTACTTACAGGGCTTCTCTAAGATCACAGAGAACATGATGTGTGCTGGACTTAAAAATGGAGGCAAGGATTCATGTCAGGTAATTATCTTTTTTTATTTCCAGTTTAAAATGTCTTTTTGGCAGGTGGGGGGGTACTATATGGAATTAACTTTTGYATCTAAAATTACAGATTTTTGTATGTGTTGATATAAGAAAAATACCTCATGCTTTAAATCACTTGTCTAAATCTGTATATCCATAAGAATAAAAAAGTCTAAATGATAGTTCACCAGTTCGTTGTTCTGAAGAAAAAACCTCACAACAATAACAACTGCCACCTGAACCAGATTGACATAATCAGTAAACACAATCTGACCCATTTCTTTTGARTCAGCAGGTGTGTCCAAACTTTTCTCTGGAACCGTATAAAAGTTTTCCTGATCGTCCCACAGGAAAACAAGGCTTTCACCTACCAGCATCCAAATAAAATGAGTGTAACAGATCCTGTCTTTTATGCACGCCATGAGTTTTTCTCTGTTTCTGCCTTTAGCAGCCCACTATGCAGAGGTATTCCTTGCAGCATGAGACCGTGTGTTGCAATGCATTAAGATTATTTTATTTTTTTTATGCAGTCCTGGCCCTAATGCAGTCTTTTTTTCTTCATTTTTGCGCATGTGAGCATTGATTAGGGGTGACAGAATAAAAAGTTTATGCATAACTACAAGCCTCTGGAGGATACACTATGACGTTTGGGGAACTCCAGAGGCCGCAGCAGATTCAAATATCTGGTTGCTGCTTTGTAATAGCTTTTTATAGGCTGCTGTCGTAACTCAATGGATTTGTTTGGCAGAATCCTTTTTTGTTGTGGACAGCTGTGGCTGAGTAGTTAGGGGCGTCATCTGCCAATCAGAAAGTTGGCAGATCGATTCTATCAACATTCAGTCAAATGGGGCAAAACACTGAAACCCCTCTGATTTGTGTCCCATCGGTGTGGGAATGGGATTTAAAGCACTGACTGGGTTAGCTTTGTAGAGAGTTGTAGTAGAGTGTTGGATGAATGGGTAAATGAGGGCACAGAAAGACCCCAGGTCTGAACTGGGGGACCGTTTTGCTGTGAGGCATCGGTACTAACCACTGAGCCATCATGCTGCCTTTTACAGTAGTTTTTTCCTTTTGTTGGACTCACCTGACAAACTGATCATCACACGTGTCTGATACTGTATTGATTTCAGTGATCCAAAGAGCCCTGAGACACAAAATCATCTATGAGTTTAATTAAAAAAACAAATGGTTTGATCGTTATGACACCTAATTACAATATGCATATAATTTTGAACACAGTGTATTTTCAATATAAGAGAACATAGTAAAAATAGGATATGGAAAAGAAGGTGGAGCTACCACTTTTTTTGTAACACTTTGGGATTCTTGAATGTAAAGTGCCCTATAAATCAAATGTATAATAA